TAACCATTCTCATTCAAAAAAAGCAGTCGAAATCAGAGATGCCCGAACTCAAGAACGAAAACGTTCAAAACAAGGTTGAAGAAACTCTGAAGATGTTGGATAGCAACATCGAAGAAATGGAGTTCGAAATGACACGTATGGAGAAAATGCTTAACGAAGAGAAGGCCTGTTTTTCAGGGATAAAAAAGATGCTCAAGTGCATGGAGAAGAAGCTCACAGAGATAGCTCCACAAGGTCGATACTCTGATACGGCATATGAAATCGAACCAGCAGAAATGAGTCCGGATATGCCAGGGAACACTGAAGAAAAAGAAGATTCCAAGCCAACAGAGCCTCAATCTGCCGACGAGTACCTAGCATTGCTTATCGAGGAAAGTGGAGAAAGAGACGAGCAGACAACAGAACAGAACCCATTATCAATCGATGACGAAACAGTAACTAAAGAAAGAGAAATGGCAAACAACGAGGTTGGAGGATGTGGACAGGAACCGATGGAGGACGAATCGACACCGGCTCCGAATGAGCCAGTCCAAAAAAGAGCAGAACAAGGGAAGACAGATGGAGAATGGAAGATGAACTGGATAAACTCGAACACAGCTTCAACTACTTGCCGAAGCGAAAAATTTAGGAATTCACAAAGAACGCAGCGTTTTCTCGATGCTCCTTCTGCGGTCAGCAAGGAAAACACTTCTCAGATTCATATCCCAGAATCACAAGAAGATTCGATAGATGGGATTTCATTGAAGATAATGATGGGTTGTGCCGTCATTGTCTAGAAGATTGTAGTCAGAAAGGATGTTCAAACAGATCGAATAATTGCTGGTACTGCGAAATTATACTGAAAAAGGCGCCAATTCTGAGAAGTTTGGCTCCTCAGAAATACCATCATCGAACGCTTTGTCCTATTCCATACACAAAGCCAGAAATTGCTGCTAGAATCAAAAAGATGGAAAAGAAGCTCTTTCACAGTACACCTTATTAGAGCGGCGGGAGTATAGCTACGCTACTCAAGAAGTACGGTACGGTTACAATTATCTTTCTTAGCTTTCACAACATTTCCTCTTATCTTCGTAACTGATCTCATCAGAAACTTTTCTAAGCTCCGATATGTTTTCATTCCTTATGCCGCCGCCAAGGTAACCACCGTATAAAAGGAACGCCAAGAAAGTCATGGCGGATTGTACACATCATCTTCGCGCAATAAACCTTCCAGTAACCTGCTCTTCCAGTAACCTGCTCTTCACTCAATAGCCGACTTCCGCTGTGCAATAACCTCGAACTACGTCTTCACTTATCTAAATAAACGTTATAAAGAAACCCGCGTGGCACATGAAAACGAATCTACACTTGGATCCGGCCTGTCATTCGTTAGAAATTCGAATTTCCAATCCTCTTCTTTTCTTGGTCCGGGTTTTTCTACTTGTAGTCCTCCCACTATGTACTCTTGGAAAGTGTAATGGACAATATAAAATATGTGCAGGGTGTCCCACAATTATGGGCGCCAATTCATGGCAATGTGTTCATTGTGTTCAAAGCTTCCAAGCTGAGAATGAAAATCCAATATATATATATATATAATATATATATGTATTTGTATATAAGAGCAGGAAGCTTCATTAGAAGCCATGATTAACAAATATACAACAAAGTTACAGTTTATATACTGCTCCGGCCCGCCAGATCTCGTGTTTGAACCGGGAAGATCAGTACTATACAAGATCAACTATCCTGCTAATAGAGATCACAGATGCCCCAACAATATATATATCTATATTATATATATATATATACACTTGCTAGTATTATATGCTACAGCATGCTACGATCACATTTCAAAATATCTTTCGTGAGCGCGCGTAGAGGGTCAAAGTTTGCTTTCAAACTCCTCGCAAGTTGCACGTAAGTATCCTCCTCCATTTCCTCTCGGTCTTTCTTCGGTCTTGGTTGCGGGTTGTAGGACTCCACAGTGGATCTGCAAACTCGACAGGTTTTCTACTAACTAGCGATCATATGGAGAGTCAAGTGGAATAATATTTGAGAAGTAGGATGACCATTTTTCTTCCTTAATAAAGTCGGATTGCATCTAAAATTATGAGACTTCCGGCGCGTATCGTTTGCACGGCTCTTGAACCATTGCGAAATGTGGTGAATTCCTCTCGACTGAAGTTTTTTCACTACTGACTGCAAAGAAGACCTATGTAGCACATCTTCTGAGCACCTCACTGCTGCTCAGCGTTTGCTCATGGTGTTGTAAGGCTGGCTTGTTTAGGAGTTTATGTATGTTCCTAAGCTTTACTCCTACAGACACCTTTAGCATTCGAGTGTCTTCATTGTGTGGGTAAGTTGTTTACTTCCTTTCACACCGATGCAATAAGAACAGCTTTCAAAATCTTCACAGGCAATTTTTAGGTAGAATCGTTTGATTAGATAAGAGCTTCTTAACTCAAGTTCGTCGCTGTAAGAACTTTAGAGTAGCCATATAGAGCTTGCAGTGCAATGAAAAATTCAATAAAACGAGAGAAATTCCTCATCGATCGATTAGCAATTCGATACCATACGGCCTCTGCAGATCGAGAAAAATTCAGGAAAGTAGAAATGATCGCGGATCAATTGGATTATCCTCAAGAACTATCATAAGACCAATGAAATACTATGGATGAGGCCCATACGATGAATGCGTTCAAATAAGCCAGTGAGTCAAGGAAAAGATATTGCAAGGGGATCGGATTTACTAGACTAATGCATGTTTGTGATGAGGAGGATAAGTGGACAAATGAGATTGGATTCAAATGGATGTTGACCTCAATACTCGCTCATTTTTTATCTGGTTTTTTCAGATTCCAGTACTCTGTTAGACCATTTACACACTTTCATTTCAAAAAAACCAGCACATGTTTTTAGCCTTTTGGGATCATAAGATCAGAACATGTTTCCCGCTTTTTGGAGTAATGACACACAATACATGAGTTAGAGTGGTAGCAATAATGACAATTAGGTAGGAGGAAATTGCTTAATCTCTACGGAAGGGGCAAGCGGCCTTCTTGTCTCTGAAGTCAGGATAGAGGATTGACAATACTTCAGTTTGTCAAAAGCCACTACGACACTCGAGAACGATAGAAGCAGAGTCAAGAGCCGTTTCTCTGTTCCAATTGGTGGCTGAATCTACATTAAATTTTAATCGAGAAACATGCCTCACTCCTAAAGGAGCTTGTACAAGAATAGACATTTGAAAGTGGCATCTAACGTGCAGGAATACAAGGAATATAGCGAATACATGAAGATCGTTGACCAGGAGGAGGGGTTAGCTGCAGTTAGTGGCAAGATTAGGAACATAAGTAAACTCCTGAGCGAGCTAGAACATTAAGCAATAACAGTGATTATCATAAGAGTATTTCGCATGTATTCTTGTAGCAGCCAGCAGTGAAATGATGCCTCCAGTAGAGGAGGATGTACCACATTTGGCTCTGGGTCAAGAGCCGCGTACGCGACACGCGCCGGAGGGTCCCCTATATTTTTAGTACGATCAGAGTCGGGCAGCTAGCGTCGGCACAATCGCGGGCGAGCTTGCTTTGTGGGCTGAAGTATTGCCTTGCTGTGAGGACTAGGAGCTGTTTAAGGAAGTGGTGTAGGATCATGTTTCATCACTTCCATCAGTATGCACCGACGAAACCGAGGGCGTCTTACCTTTGCCACTGACTCTCTCAAAAATCACTAGTCTGCTGTTTTAAAGCCACTTTCTTATGGGAGATTGCTTTTTCGACGTTCATTGCTAAGACGTGATCGCCTCATTTGTTGAGTAATTGTTTTTTGTAAAAATTGTTTAGTTCAACAGAACGATGAAGGGCTGGTGTCACCTTTAAAGTGAGTTAGCAACTTTGTGCAATTTTTGGCCCTGCACTGTCTGTTGAGATCGGAATTGAAGCGACATTTCTGCATACGATAGGAAGGCCAGTGAAGCTTTTGCTCCACAATCCACCCTTAAACAGTCCTGCTTTTATTTTGATGGATCACCCAGGAGCACGATGGACTCACGAACTGACCAACTTGATGATCCTACCATTGGAAACCCTGACCTTTCTACCGCTTCCTGGTTTGTCTTTGATTGGACCTTTTTTTCTCTATCATTTAATAGCCTTCTGTACAGATGTTATAGGAATCGCAAGGAATTCCAATGCACTTCTGCTTGAGGCATGCCAGTTATTTCAAGTGGCATTGGACGAGGCCCGGCCATCTAAATGATAATGATAATAATGAGAGTGATGACAGAGATAATAAATACCTCGTTTCCTGTTTTTGGCAGCCCCCTCAACGAGCAGAAAAAACACAAAATTTGGCCAGGAGGAGGCCTTGTCCCTGCAGAACTTTGAAAGAAGACAGTAAAATGGCTGCGTGATACCTCAACTATCGCTTATGTCTCGACTGTATCAGAGACCTTTCTAGATCAAAATGTAGTGTTCTGAGTATTACCATTTCATTTCTTTGGGTTTATTGTCACTCACAGCTATTTTCCATATAAATTTGGAATACCAGTTGTAGCTTTAAGATGTATGCCATCCATTCTATTGCCTCATGAATTGTGTATGAAGTTAAATGCTGATTAAACCCTGACATAAGGGACGCAGGCTCTCGTGAATTGTCGTGAACTATGCCTTCAATCGCGTTCGTGGTAACCTTGATTGAGGCCAATCAAGTAGGGAGCAACAAGCATTCATTTTGAAGACCGAAACGAATCGCTCAACAAGCAATTATTCGTACCGAATATACGATCCAATGAAAGCGCTATCTTCAGCGCATCATGTTAGCAAACGTGTATAAGACTCCACTGCCATTCTCAGCTGCGAAGCTTTGAATACATCGCCATGAATAGGCGCCCATAATTTTGGGTCATCCTGTATACAGGGTGCGCCATAAACATGGCAACAAAATAATTTGGCTACAGACACAGCAGTTCATATTCAATGTGAAAGGGTACAACAGAGGTAAGCACGACTATACTTGGTGACATGGAGGTCTCACTGCTTGGGCTATCATGACGAAAGTTAAAGTAGTAACCTAATCGGATCTACAGAAAATCTCATGCATTGTAGGCTTGCACTAGCATTGATTGAAGAAAATTTTGCTGCAGTAAGTTCTATTCAATTGAATAATACACAGCAGTGATTCGGTGAAGAACATTTTTGTAAACATTATGATTGTGCTGTTCATTTGCTCAACA